ATAGACGATTTAATTGGTGAGAATGCGTGATAATGACAATAGTTATGTAAGATTGAACGTATTCACATTATCAAACAACATATTTTCTTTGTCATTCTCACAGAATAGCATTGTCCACACTTCCGCACAATAGATGCCAATCCACATTTGAACCTAAATTTTTTATCTCACTTACACACACACACATACACACACACACACACACTCTCTCTATATATATATATATATATATATATGTATATATATATATATATATATATATATATATATATATATATTTATATATATGAAAAAGTTCAATTGAAAACCATTATTAATCAAGAAACCAATGGACCAATCTAAAACGTCAGAATTTAAAGCGATCAACGGCAAAATAAAGGGTTGTAGACTTTTACAATGAATGTACATGCACCAGATTATAACAAAACCCATTTTTTTTGGTTTAATTTTTTTAGGTATTTTTTTATCGAAAAAAATCGAATATACCATTGTTCATGATTTTTCATCCTCTTTCCATAGAGATCGATATTGATATACAAAAAATAAATTTTTTATTTAAAAAAAACCCACTTTATTTATTTGTTTTTTGAAAAGTTAAGGCCTACTTTTTATCGAAAAAATTTAATAAATATATCAAAATTCATATTTTTTTGTACTCTTTAAAAATAAATTCATATTTATGTAAAAAAAAAAAAATTTAAGTACAGGTTCACATTGTGAATCTGCCCAGATTCACATTGTGAATCTGCATAGATTCAAATTGTGAATCTGAACAGATTCACAATATGAAAATAATAGTAAATCAGATTGATATTGTGAATGTTAAAATTGAAATATTTACAGTTTAGATTCACAATGTGAATCTGAACTAATCAAGTTTTTTTAATCGATGATGATGTTTATTAATAGATGACAAAAATTTGAGATTTTTGGTAAAATTAGTTTTTTTTTTATAAAAATAAACTTAAATATTGAAAAAAAACAACAAAATGAAGTGAGTTTTTGCGAAAAACAAAGCTTTCTTTTTTATATATCAACATGGATCTCTATGGAAAGAGGATGGAAAATCGTGAACAATGATATATCGGGATTTTTTTTGATAAAAAACATGGCTTAAAAAAATTTTAAACGAAAAAAAGAGGTGAGTTTTTTGTTAAAGATGTGGGTTTCCCCCAAAATACCCCATACGATAAACATACAAGCATGCATAACTGCCGCTCTTCGGCATTTAGTCTATCCAGACCGGAATACCAGGGTTTGTTGGCCCACCGCCTCAACCCAACCGCTCCTCCCGAGCCTCAGTGTCTTCGGCTTACAGCCGACCCGTACAGGGTATGTTGACCTACAACACAAAGCAGGACCGCCTCAACCCACCACCACCATATGTCGACATATAAACAAACAAGGATCAAGCAGGCACATAAAACAGGAAAACAACAATCATACAACTCACTCTCGCCTGCTAGTCCTCTCATAACACACAGTCCCATTAACAGCTAACCTCCATGGAATGCGTAACCATAAGTAGCCATAGGTGAGATAGCCACCCGAACTATGATCCTACTCTAAATCCACAACCAAACAAGGAACAGGCAAGAGAGCCTAGACTAAGAGTTCTCAGGCTATCCTACATAACCACAAACAGTCCCTCGGGGACTCCACCAGATGATAACCAACAAGTACAGATAACATACCAATCCATCAATGCACTATAGCATAGCAACATCCTACATACCAGTATACCGATCTAACAGATTACTACAACATAACATTATTCTCGACACCATAATACAGATCTAACAGATCACCACAGCCTATCAGCATACTCGATACCATAATACAAATCTAACAGATCACCATAGCCTATCAACATACTCGATACCAGAATACAGATCTAACAAATCACTACAACCTATCAACATACTCGATACCAGAATACAGATCTAACAGATCACTACAACACATCAGCATACTCGACACTAGAGTACATATCTATCAGATCACCATAGCCTATCAGCATACTCGATACCAGAATACAGATCTAACAGATCACTACAGCACAACAACATACTCGACACCATAATACAGATCTAACAGATCACCGCAGCCTATCAGCATACTTGATACCAGAATACAGATCTAACAGATCACTATAGCACAGTGTCATACTAAATATCAAAAATCTAAGAAATGTCTGACAGTATATAATCAGAGGTGAGATAGCCACCCGGACAGATGATCCTACCCTAGAATCATAACCAAAGAAGGAACATGTAAGAGAGCCTAGATCAAGAGTCCTCAGTCTATCCTACATGACTATACACAACCCTTATGACATCCCTCTACTAACAGATAACCGAAAACTAGTGGGACGACATTGGTACCTTCGACCCACGGTACAATGAGGCGAAACTCACCTAGAATGAAGAAACCCGAGAATACCGCGATACGATCCCTGCTACACTGCTTCCTCCCGCGGATCCACTAACATCATAACCATATAAAATCTTAATCACCAATCCAAACCTCGAGTTTGACCTAAATTCAAACTTGGTCAAAAGTCATTGGGGTCAGCGAAAGTCAAAGTCAAAGGTCAAACTGGTCAAACATCCATAAGTCAACTGAGTCAACCCAGCCGAGTCAACTCAAAAGATGTACGTGGGGGTGTACTCCATATGTATGCTGGACGTACTCCATCGTTGATCGCCATCGGGGCTTTGACCACGTACGCGCTGTGTACTCAATTTACGCAGGGCATATGCCCAGATCCTCCAATCCTTCATTAAGTGCTTAATGCCATAAGTCCTTACATCCAACTTTCAGATCCAAGGCTAAAATACCTTCTAGAGTCATAAATTTTCCAACTTTATGACTTTGCATGTCCATTAAGAGCTTAACTCAACATCTTAATCCATTAAGACCCTCTAAATGATGCATGGAGCACAACCAACCACTTAGATCCCATTTTTATGACTTAAGACCCCCCTAAGGTCTGAAAGGACAACTTAATGGGTCAAGAACATGCTATGTTCATGAATCACCACATTTGGGACAAAAAGGAACCAAAAACCAACCCAACACAAGATCTAAATGAAACTTCACCAATATTAGAACTTTATACCTCCAAATGATGTCAAAAGGTGGTGAGATTCTGGATCTAAAGAGCTTCACTCCTCCAAGATGGTCTCCAATCCTTTCCTTATTTTTCAATTGCACAAAACACCCACACTCAAGCTTAGAAATGGTTCACAAGATGGATTAGGGTTATAAGAACGTTCCAAGAGGATGGAGGCTGATGAGGTGAGGGGAAATGAGGCTATAATAGGGTTTAAATATGAGCCACACCCTAAAAATTAGGGTTTGCATGATTAGAACGTACGCCATGCGTATAGATGTACACCCAACGTACTAGGGCACGCCCTAATACGCTCAGCGTACACACGTACGCATGGCATACTCCCTCAAGCCCAAAATTACGAAAATTCCATTAGGGCCCTTATTGCACTCTTTCTTATACTCAAGGTCCATATTGCAATATAATTAAACCATAGGGCCAAAATTAAAGTATCTCATCATCGGGATGTTACACCTTTGCATTCCTACGAACTGGTAAAGTACCTGAAAAACATTTAAACCATAATTGTAAGCCAAAGCTTAGTGAGTTCCCCAAAATACCCAACATAATAATACATATACAATGCGTAGCTGGCACGGGAGCAAGACATATGGCAAACATTAAAGGAATCACATGGACGCGACACGACCATGCCTATGTCACGAAGTGCTTTCGTGTCAAATGCAACAATATATAATGTCGATTCAGTTGTTTCTTTTGGAAGGAGTAAAACAAAAACGGGGAGCGGTGTATTATAGTGGGTTGTTAATCATTGAGTGTGTTATAGGAATTTGTGATATGGTTGAAAGGTTTTGAACACACTAACACACAAAATATGGCAACGAAAGCATATTATAATTTTCTTTTTAAATGTTTAACTAATCCTACAAGGATCCTATGTTCATACTATTATTGCAACTGCAAGAAAGTTAAGATTACATACCTCTTTGCTGGCCAAAGATCTTCTTGCTTGTTATATTGTTCTTGCCACTTTGATTGAATGTTAAAGATCCAAAGGAGAATTCCTCTAATAGAATCGCACCTAAGAACTTCAACTGAGCAAAGCGACAAATCCTAGGAGATCAGAGAGAAAAACACAAAAACACAAATCCTAATAGGGTGGTTTTTAGAAAACGATTTTTGAATAAACCCAACAACATTAACCATAAAAAATAACTTATGTAATGGAACTAGACTTCAAGTGATATAACTGGGTTATTGTGTTATAGAAGTGGTCGTCATATTTGGAAGCAATATTGGATACCTTGCTTGTATTTGAAGTTTGTCTTTAACACCGTTACACAACATGATCTCTTTCAAATTTCACAGAAGACAAATTTATACTTGATGTTTGTTTTGCTATGATCATAAATAAGAGTAAAAAGCAGTCATTATCAAATGTTTGTTTGTTTTTTAGACAACCACTTTTCATATATGGACAATTGTATGCTGCTTAGATAAGGATGATAGCCTCACCAATAAAACTTCCACTGTTGTATGCAAAGAAATGTTTCAAAATTTATATTATGTTTTTGGTATTTACCTCATCATTTATTTATTACTTACAATAGATACTTATTTATCAATTTTTTTAGTTATTAATTTTTTTTTGTATACACATAACTTATTTATATTGTCTTATTTGTTAGTATTTTATTATAGCTACATACCATTATCATTTTCGGCTATTAAATGTTAATGTTTTTTTTTTTGTTTTTTATTATATAATTTATTTTAATTTATAAATTGTATAATACACAAAGTTTATAACATAATATAATTACTAAAACAAATGAGTTATTTATAATTTTATATTATCATTTTTTATAGTGGGACGAATAAATTATAAATATCTTTACAATATAAAAAAATTTACGAGCTAGTGCGCTTGGGAATTTCAAGAATCCAATATCGCAAGAGATGCTGCTACATTATATAACCAACACTCCGATTTCAGTTCCGCATTCTTATTCTGCATTCAGCTCTCATCAATCTCCATTCCATTTCCCCAAAGCTTTTCCTCAACCATCTCATCATCCTTCCCCATTAAGACAATTACAGTAAGTAATCTCTCCCTCTATGCAATTGATTTAGGTGTCTGTATGTGTTTCCCCCCATTATTTATCCTTTTTTTTTTCTCCCTTGTGATGGGTTTCACTTGTGTATGACTTGATAACTCAATTCGTTCAATCTAGGCGTGGTTTTGTGGTTCGATTGAACTTGAATCTTACTAGTCTTCACTTCTTCGATTGAATTAAAGAGTCAGTTTTGACTTTAGAATTTACGTAACAAGTAATACATATAGATGATCACTGGAGCTTAAAACTACGTTCTTCTGTATTGGATTTGACTGGATAACTGTGTTCTTGCTTTCAGTGTGTTTCCGTTTAGCTTTGTTTTTGCTTAATTGATAGGTTGATTGATTTCGTGGCATTTGTGCCTATTTCTGCAATTTGTTTTCGTTTAATCTATTTAACTAGTGTTTATACACATCATTAAAGGAAGTGGTATACATAAGAAACCATAGGAAGTGGTATGGAAAATTTTGAGGAAGTTGAGTCACTCATAATGATTGTCTAGAGATCAAGGAATCAATCAATCAATAAAATATTGCATCAGATTGTTGAGGATCATGTGGTTGTCTTATAAAAAAAAGTAAAAGATGGTGGTTTGGTTAAGAATTTCATAAAATCTTGGAAAGTTGATGGTAAAAAGAATGGTTAAATGCAAGAAATAGCAGCTCATTTTCATTTGTTTGTGTATTATAACATCCTAATATCATTTACTATAATATCATTGATATTATAGTAAACGTCTACACGTTTGCTCAGGAATGGATAACATTGGAGTTAGCCCCAAAAAGGAAGTTGCTGTTGCTGTAGATGCTTCCATTGAGGAAGAATATGCTTCTCTATCTAAATTGTATAAAGAGTTCACAAACATGTCAACCATTGATAAAGCATGGAATTACAAGTCCCCTAATGGTATGCTTCATATTTTCTTTGTGCTAAGGTGTTTTCAAAGAACCAGTTTCTGTATATGTTATCTATTTTAGACAGAAGGGTAAAATGGTCATTTACTCTCATTCAAACGGTTCATTCAATCAAGAAAAGGAACAACATTTGTTCATGTAACACTTACTTCCAACAGAAATCATTACTATAATTGGGTAGATTTTCAAATCACAATGCCCTAAAGAAAAATAATTTGGAAGTGCATTGCTATTTCTTGCATTTAGCCTTTCTTTTTTTACTGTGAGTTATAAAAGATGGTTGTGTAACGTGTGCCTAAAAAAATACAATGCAGGAAAAGGATCTCATGCTACATTTTCAATTGGTCAACCGAATCTTTTTGCAAACAAGAAGAAGAAACTTATGTTATCAAGTTTCATCTCTGAAGATTCTAATGGCACTTTAAATGTTCAATGGTCACCATTTCCAATTGAAATCACAGGTGCCTCTGTAATGGTTCCCTCTCCATCAGGGAAAAAGCTTCTTGTGATACGAAACCCTGAAAATGATTCACCCTCTCAGTTTGAAATTTGGGGCCCACTGCAATTAGAGAAGGAGATTCGTGTTCCTCAATCTGTTCATGGTTCTGTGTATGTGGATGGATGGTAAGTTTATCAAATTTTAAACTGGTTATGTGATAATGAATCATCATTAATGTATAATCAGTTGTAATAAGGGTATATAAGTTATTTTGTCATTATTGTTGTGTGTTTGAGATATTTATTCCCTTTTACTAATGATCAAACACTTGATTTTGGAAAAAAAGAGTATTGAATAATTTGAATTGGATCAGGTTTGAGGGGATTTCATGGAGCTCAGATGAAAGTCTCATTGCATATGTGGCAGAGGAACCGAGTCTCCACAAACCAACATTTAATGATACGGGTTACAAAAAAGATGTGGGTCCCACAGATAAGGATTGTAATAGCTGGAAAGGTCAAGGGGGATTGGGAAGAGGATTGGGGAGAAACCTATGCAGGAAAAAAGCAGCCTGCTCTATTTGTCATTAATATCGACAGGTTAGATAATGTTTATTACAACATTGTACTTTCATTTCTTCTTATGAGAGCATTATACATTGAAAAAATTGGCCAATAATACGAATTTCATCCTAATACAAAGCAATTTTCACTGCTATAATTGGGTACATTTTAAAACTATTGTCTTAATTAGGAAAATATTTGGAAGTACAATGTTATAATTGGATAGTTTTTTCAAAGTACAACGCCTTAAAATAAGAAAAAGATTAAAAGTACAATGTTGTAGTTGAACAAAATGAAAGTAGGGTGCTTCAATACACAGATAAACAAAAGTATGTTGCTATTTCTTATTATTTCTGGCTCCTTAAGGTCATTAGGTTCTTAAGACTGCCAACTAGTGGGCCACTGTGTACCTGCTTTACATATCACATGATGCTCTTGGGCCAGGACACTGTGGGCCATCTCAGGGGTTGCGGGAAGAATAACCCTTTTACAGATATAAAAAAGTTATCTGTTCTTTTGTGCTTAGTTTTGCTTTGATATTTGTAGTGGAGATGTTCGTGCTGTAGATGGGATTCGGAGGTCATTGAGTGTGGGACAAGTTGTATGGGCTCCAACAACAAAAGGGTCCGGGTCCCATCAATATCTAGTTTTTGTCGGGTGGCCCTCTGACACTCGGAAGCTTGGAATGATATACTGCTTTAATAGGCCATGTGCAATTTACACTGTAAAGGCTCCATCATTTGGAACAGAAATCAAAGAAAATTCTATAAATGATGTTTCCGTCATCAATCTTAGTCAAAACACAAGCAGTGCTTTCCTCCCACGGTTCACGTAAGTATGCACACAGGAACCGTTCATCAATCCAGACCAGTCTGGACGGTCCGGACTGTCATCAGTCTGGACGGTCCGGACTGTCATCAGTCCGGACCGGTCCCAATGGTCAGAGTCTGACCGTTGGGACTGGTCTGGTCTAGTTTGTGGACACCACTAACTTACATAATTGAATCAATAACTTTATGTCTTTGCTTTTCAGCCCAGATGGAAAGTTTCTTGTATTTTTGTCTGCAAAAAGTTGTGTAGATTCAGGGGCACATTCCGCTACAAACTCTCTTCATAAAATTGAATGGAACAGTGAAGGAGAACCAAGTCCAGCCAAGATCCTTGATGTGGTGAGTTGATATACAATAAATTTCTAAACTCTTGATTTGTTATAGCATCACACTTTGGTTTCTTTCTATTACAACATTGTACTTTTAGTTCTCTTATTACGACATTGTATTATGAAAAAGTCATAGCATTGTAATTTCACTTTTTTTTCCTCATTAGGAAATTTTACACAATTATAGCAGTTGTAAGATTAGATATCATAAATGTAAAACTTACACACGATTAATTTCTCTAGGTTCCTGTGGTGATGTGTCCTGAAGATGGTTGTTTCCCTGGGATCTACTCTCATAATGCTGTTAGTAAACCATGGCTTTCAGATGGATCCACAATGATTATATCCTCCATTTGGGGAAGCAAGGAAGTAATAATTTCTGTGAATGTGTTAAGGTAATGATTAATATCATCACATTGTTTCTTAGAGAGTGGAACAAGCTTTCTAGGGTTATTTTCAATGATGAGGGCATTTACGTCTTTTACATCTTTTATGGTGGAACTTTTCTAATTGGCAGTTTACTTGTTTATTTGCAGTGGGAAAGTTTCAAGAATCACTCCTAGCGATTCAAATCATTCATGGAGTTTACTTGCAGTTGATGACAACAAAATTCTTGCTGGTAATTCATGAAATTTATCAATGATAATTTTTTTTTTTTTTTTTTTCACTTTAGGACATTATACATTGAAATATTCATCCAATTATATCAGTGAAAATTGCTTTGTATTCACATAACATTGCTATAATTTGCCTTAACATTATAGAAAAATTTCAGTAAAAAATAGAGAAAGTGTTTTCAATAAGTTACAAGTTTTATAATTTTATTAGAGATCTTCATCTTCACTAAACTAATAATATATTCGGTTTCTTGTTCCCTTATGAAGTATGTAGCAGCCTAATAGACATCCCTCAGATCAAATATGGTAGTCTAGCTAAGGACGAATCAAAAGACGCCACCTGGCATTGGCAGGATGTTTCATCCCCAACATCTGAAAGTCAAGAGAAAGTATGTTTGTTGTACTTCCTATTTCTTGCACTGAGACTGAGACTGATGTCAATAGGACAAAAGTTGTACTTTTTGTCCCACATTAAAAAGATGGAACACGGACTCACTCTTAAATCTCTCATTTTGCAAAAGACAAAAATGCCCTCCTCATCCTCATCATTAAAAATAGCCCTAGAAAGGGGAGAATTGGATGTGTTTCTTCTACAAGTTGTTTAAAAAAGGTACTTTGATATGATGTGAACAGGTCAAATCTTTACTTTCATCTCTTCAATTTGACATACTAAAGATTCCTGTCAAGAATGTCCAAGAAAATCTCACAAAAGGTATCCTACTAAATCTTTGAATATATCAAGTGCTAAAGTAAAAAAGTGTATTTTTTTTTTTTGGTAGATTGTTGGATTCTTGAAGGTGTTTTGTATCTTTTACATTCTTGTTGAAGAATCTGCATAGATTCTAATTATTTTGTAACTTGATCCAATTTTATTAGGTGCCAATAAACCTTTTGAAGCAATATTTGTATCCTCAAAATCAAAGCATGAGGCTTGTGACCCAATGATTGTAATCCTTCATGGGGGCCCACACACTTCTTTGTTGTCAAGCTTCTCAAAGTCCTCGGGTTTTCTTGCTTCAATAGGATATAGTTTGTTGATTGTAAATTACAGGCAAGTCTTAATTTTCTATATATTTTCATTGATGAGGATGAGGAGGGCATTTTCGTCTTTTGGAAGCATTCCCTTAATAGCAATGTTCTTACAGAGGTTCACTTGGATTTGGTGAAGAAGCACTACAATCACTTCCAGGGAAAGCCGGATTGCAGGTGCCCTTTCTTTACATTTATTAAATCCATAAAAAAAAAAAATATTTTCTTTCGATAATTTATCCATACAACAATATCTGGAAAATAAAAAATAAATAAATTTCACATTAACTTGTTCTGCTTGTAATTGTATGAAGGATGTAAACGATGTCCTCACAGCAATAGATCATGCCATTGACATGGGGCTTGCGGACCCCTCGAAAATAACTGTTGTTGGTGGGTCCCACGGTGGTTTCTTAACATCTCACTTGATTGGCCAGGTATTATAAAAAAGTAAAAAACTTAAATTTTTTTTTACATATATTTATTCGTGCTATAAATTATTCAGGCACCCGATAGATTTGCTGCAGCTGCTGTGAGGAATCCTGTTTGTAATCTTGCTTTAATGGTGGGCACAACAGATATTCCAGAATGGTGTTTTGTGGAGTCATTTGGAAGCAAAGGGCTTTCTACCTATACAGAAGCCCCATCACCTCAACTCCTCAAATTATTTCATGATAAATCCCCTATTTCACATCTTCCAAAGGTAGGGCTATTTTTTATTTTTTATGATGAGGGTATTTACGTCTTTTTACACACGAGTACAAGTGATGGGACAAAAAATTGCAAATTATGTCCCATTCACATCCGTAACAGTTTTGTTTTTCTGTCATGTCATGTCAGGGTTTACTTTTACTGATGATTTGATATTTGTAGGTGAAAACTCCAACACTGTTCCTATTAGGTGCTAAAGATCTTCGTGTCCCGGTTTCAAATGGCTTGCAAGTGAGTATTTGAATTTTATTCATTTATTATACATATTATATTTTCATCTTGTTGTGTGCCCATATTAATGTAAAAATATATATATATATATATACTTTATGCAAAGTTTGCACGCGCATTGAAGGAAAAAGGAGTTGAAGTGAAAGTAATTGTTTTTCCTGAAGATACACATGCTATTAGCCGGTAAATATTTCCTGACCCCTAAACCCTAAACCCTAACCTGTTACATGTTACATGTTACATCAGACTGGACAAGCTTTCTAAGGATATTTTCAATGATGAGGATAAGGGACATTCATGTCTTTTGCACAGACAAGAGATCAATAGTGATTCCCTATCCCACCATGTTTCATATTTTTGGTGGGACAAAAAGTTGCAATTCTTGTCTCATTGACATCTGTCCTGGACAGTACAATGCATGTTAAACACAGTATAAGGTTGTTATGATCTGTCTGGTTTGATTTGTGTTTTGTGTGTTGCAGACCACAATCGGATTTCGAAAGCTTTGTTAATATTGGAGTTTGGTTCAAGAAGTATTGCAAGAAATAAGGTGGGGTTTCATTGGAGGACAATTGCTATGTAATGATATATTTTTGTTTTGAAAAAAAAACCATTTTAAAAATAATTTTAAAGGCAAATTTGATGAAAATGATACTCATTGGAAAGTTGGGTGGTTTTTTTTATTACACTTTTTATATACGGCATTAGAAATCATCACCTGTTAAGTTTGTCTAGTTTTATGCATTAGCAATGTTTTTTAGTGCATAATTATCGGTTAACACATCCAAACCAAATACTTATTTTACTTTCATAATATAACAAGATTGGAAACTATATAACAATTGTTAATAAGACATCAACATTTAGGCTTGTAAGGAGATGTTTGGTTATAACTTATTAATTTCCCCAAAAATTTAATCATAAACTTTCAAGATGGAAAGTTGAAGCGTTATATATTGGTGGGTTTCGTAGTACGTAATTTTTTACATTTTGGGTTGTCATTGGCAATTTTGAAGGTGCTGAAAAGTGCATGTTATAAATTCTACCGGGAGGTATTTTTAAATGAAAGAAAATTTGCTTGAATTCCCACCAAAAAACTTGGGTTTGGTATTGCCGTATTGATACTTTATTTGCTTCTAATAGGGATCTACTTTTTAAATGGTGTTTGACGTTTCTTATGAACAATAACGTTTTTTCGGTGAAAATCATCAAATCTATCTATGGTGATGTGGTGGGTATAAAAATAATCTAAGGATGACTGAAGCAGATATGATGTCTTTAAGCCAATTACTTGATGGGGCTAATCTCAATGATACAAGTGACAAATGAGTTTGGGATCTTATTATGTGGGAGATTTTTTTAGTTGTTTTCTTGCGTCAATTTATAAACAATCCAACTTTAGGCTATATGGGTAACATCACTTGGTGCAACAATTTTGTCCCTTCAAAGTTTATCATTTTAGTTTGGAGAACTGATTTGGATTGATTACCATTCCACTATTTGTCTAATTTAGCATTAAGTTAATGAAGCACCTTTTCATCCATTGTTCCATATCTAAGGAGATATGAGATAAAATACTTTAATGGTGGGACAATATCGAAGGAGATATGGGATAAAATACTTTGATGGTGGGACGTCACACTGATATCGCCATATATAGTCATATATTTTATGCAATATCTTAGTATTTTTAGCTACATTTTAATCTTAATTGAAGATATTTGATGCTTATAATGTTTAAATTCTATTTTGTAGCAGCAAATACATGTTCGGGATAAAATGATCAAATATGTTGTATTGGAAGTGGGATTGCTGAAAAGAGTCAACAAAAGTTGAATTATGGAGCAATCTGAAGAAACCGATACCGCAACGTGGTGAAGAGTCCTGAACCGATAAACTCATCAGATGATGTACAAGTCGGATACCTTGGAGGGAACGCGAAGGAACCGATACTGCGACGTGGTCATAGCTTCACAACGATGCGGTGACACAATTTATGGAAACTATAAAATATACTACATTCTTTCATTATCTGACTTATGCAACAAGTATCATTCGACTACTATTGACGACCAAAGAACCCTCTTAGAGTCTTTGGAGATCAAAGATCGATTGTGGAGCAAGATTCGAAGAGATCGAGAGCATGTACACGATTAATCATTCAGTTTGCTTTGTTCTAATCATGTTTAACAAAGTCTACTATGTTTTTGATTGTTTTTTTTTGCTTTAGTTATGGAGTAAAAACCATTTACTTTCGTTTAGAGTAGATGAACCTTGAACTTATGCATTGATTTTGAGGATTTCAGATTTAATCTAGTGATTTATTTATTATGTTTGCTTGGTAAAGATCTTTATGTGTTAAAGTTTCAATATTTTTATTGCTAAGTATTGTTAGGATTAAATGATCAATCTATATTGATGTGCTTGAATCATATGATTTTATGAACTAGAGAAATGTTTGACTAGGGTTTTGACCAAAAACCTATGGTTAAATAGAAAAGTTGGTAACTTTAATGTGTAAGATTATATGTGATGATTATTCATGTATAGATAATTGGAATTCATTATCATTGATATCGATTTAGAATTCAAGTCTTTCATAATTCGATCTAAACACTGAATTGTAAGAATATTAGTTCAGTTGATCACTGCAATTGATAATATTATTAAATCAAAGGATTAGTAATTAGATCACAATACTAGTCATATTAGGAATCGGTAAACGATGAAATTGAATCTATTGCACTATCAACGAATCAACCATAAGGAATATGTGAATCGAATCTAAACGGAAGTGCTCTTTAAATTTTGTCTTAAAATCGTTACCTGCTTCGTTTTTAGTTTAAATAATTGTTTGCTTTCTAGTTGTTTAAAAGTTGATGATAAGAAGTTTTCTGAACTTTAAAAATTAGAACCCCCCCCCCCCCCTTCCATCCTTTATAATGTTTTTTAGTTTAATTAGTAGTAGATATTTTAATCTTAAATCATACACGTTCCCTAAGTGTTTGACAACTCATGTTTACCATTTCTATACAGTCAAACGAATAGGTCCATTTGCCTAATTGTGAACAAAACCCGATTAACAGAATATGATAATAATAAAATAGATTTTAATTTAGATTTTAATTATATTTAAAGTGATGGTATATAATATAAAATGCTAATCATAATAATGGTTAAGAGAGTACCTGATAGTATAGTTATTGAATGCTTGGTTGATTTTGCCTTGAGATGATCTTAATGGTATGCATTGGATTCTTGGGTGATAATTATAATCTGCTATTCAGAAGTTAAAAACTTCAACAGATAAATTTGAGAGTAAACGTTTTTCATAAATTTTCGCTCTATTTTATTTCATAAGTGGAACAAGCCTTATATAGGCAAATATTTTACAAACGACAATTTAGACAAACTATTGTTAACCATACTAGACATTATTATAGTCATTATTGCTTTCATGAACTAACTATTGCTAGTCCATACACACACTTATTACATATACAAGTTTCACATAACTCTAGGACACATACATATTTTACTATTTACATGACAAAACGATATCACAATAATTATTACATTTTTAACGGATCGTAGTTGCACTTGCTCTTATCTCTTCACATCTTTATACTGTCAAACGAATAGGTTCACTTGCCTAATTGTATAGCCGTTCTAGTTGATAATAAGTAGAATTTTACAAATACAAACTAATGTGAAAAATAAGCATCGCACACATTTACGTTTAACCTCGATTGGGGAGAGATTGAAGATTGTGGTATATGGTCCTTGAATGTCAAGCTACTTTTTATGCAATCACATTGACGTTTTTTAGATGCTTCGGACACATTGGAATGAGATTCTTTTTGCATCTTCTAAGCCAAGGAAATATGCAATTTTTCATATCATATTATATCTACTAGAATTGAAAAAATATGATGTGTTAGTTTGGCTTACAATAGAAGCCCATTCTTTAGCTTTTCAAAAAGGGTTGACTTGACTTTGTATATTTATTTTCCACTAGATTTTTTGCGGGTCTTTTATTAACGAATCTTTTCGTTGCCCTTCAACATTTTTTTACTACTATAATAATAAGTTATCATGATACATAAACAAGTAGTAAGAACATGTTTCTAGTTCTTAATAAACCAAAAAAGAGAAAGGAAAACATGTTTCTAGTTCTTAATAAAACCAAAAAAGAGAAAGAAAAACATGTTTCTAGTTCTTAATAAAACCAAAAAAGAGAAAGAAAAACATGTTTTAGTTCTTTAGCTTTTCAAAAAGGGTTGACTTGACTTTGTATATGTATTTTCCACTAGATTTTTTGCCGGTAATGTTTCTAGTTCTTAGCACTAAAACCAAAAAAATTAAAAAAGACGCCATCCGTGGGACTCGAACCCACGACCACGTGGTTAAAAGCCACGCGCTCTACCAACTGAGCTAGAACGGCTTGATGTTACGTAAACTTACAATGAATATTTAATCATAACTTAAAATAATTTTATATTTAGCGAGCTGGATTTGACTCATGTTAAGGTTTTTGACATCTCTCATGAACAAAGGATTGAAGTCGGCAGATGCAGATACTGATTCACCAAAACCTGTTTCAACAAAAAATCAATGTTTGTTAAGCTTCAGCATTTAGATACAAATTGTATTCCAGTTCTCCATCCAGTCAAGACCTCAAATTCCAACATCAATGGCGGAGTTTCACTTCCACTTCCTTGCCACCGTACTGAAAGAGAATTTGAACAACTCATCAAGAAACACAAAATTCCACCTCAAAAACAATTAGATTTTGACAAAAGAACTGTTTTTCGTAAACCAAAGTCGAACCCAGATGGTTTAGTTCAAAACCCAGAGAGAAAAAAGGGTACAATTGAGAAGGATAAGGTCGTCAAGAGAAGAGTATGGTCAAGAAGGGATACGCTAGAGAAGGAGAAGTTGCAGAACAAGTGTACGACGGAATTGGTGAATGGGAATGAGGCGGTGAAAAAAGTGCACACCAAGTGTTCGACGAAAGTCGTGCCTGAGAATGGGGTGGTGAAGAAAGAGCACACCAAGTGTTCGGCGAAATGGGCAAGGTACGGAGGGTGTATTCCTGCTATGTTAGACACTCTAGAAAGAGTTACCAATTTGGACGAAGCCTTTAAGCCATGGGAACTGAGTTTGAGTAACAAAGAAAGAACCATAATCTTAAAGGAGCAAAAATCTTGGCAAAGAGCCATGGAGATTTTCAACTGGTTCAAGAAGAAAGGATGCTACGAGTTGAATGTAATCCATTACAACATAATGATCAGAATCCTCGGCAAAGCTCAAAGATGGGAAGAACTCGAAATCTTGCTGAACGAAATGGAGAAAAACAGAATCGAACCCATCAATTCAACATACGGAACTTTAATGGATGTTTACAGTAAAGGTGGGTTTCGAGAAAAAGCAATGCACTTCTTAGATATAATGAACAAGAAAAAAATAGAATCCGATGAAGTCACCATGGGAATCGTTCTTCAAATGTACAAAACCTCTGGACAATTTGAAAAAGCGATAGAATTCTTCAAAAAATGGTCAATCGGGAAAACTGTTTCTTTAAGCTCGTATACATACAACACTTTGATCGATATATATGGGAAAGCTGGAAGACTTCAAGATGCATCCCAGACGTTCGATGAAATGCTCAAAAGAGGTATTGTCCAAAATACTATAACCTTTAATTCAATGATTCATATGTTTGGTGACCATGGCCAATTAGATAAAGTTGAATCATTGATTCAAAAAATGGAACAATTTCAATGCCTACCCGATACTAGAACTTATAATATCCTTATTTCAATGCATACAAAGCATGATAACATCGTTGTAGCAACCAAGTATTTCAAAAAGATGAAAGATTCATCTCTTTTGCCCGATATTGTGAGTTATCGTACCCTTTTATATGCTTATTCCATAAGACAAATGGTCGATGAAGCCGAAAAACTCATGAGGGAAATGGATGAAAGAGGTCTTGAAATCGATGAATACACACAATCTTCGATTACTAGAATGTATATAGAGGCGGGGATGCTTAAAAAGGCATGGTTATGGTTCAAACGGTTTCATATTTCGGGGAAAATGACTCCGGATTGTTACTCGGCAATTATCGATGCTTTCGGATCACGTGGCCATGTTCCGGAAGCCGAGGAAGTTTTCAAATGTTGTCAAGAACAAAGAAACCCTAAAGTTCTCGAGTATAATGTTATGATTAAAACATACGGTGTTAACAAAAGATATGATGATGTTTATCGGTTAATCGATCGTATGGAGGAGCACGGTGTGACACCGGATATATGCAGTTATAATTCGGTTATCCAAATGTTGGCGGCCGATGACCGTCCGGAAACCGCCGCTTTTTATTTAAGAAAAATGCGCGATTCCGGATTCGTAACCGACTGCGTACCGTATTGCGCGGTGATCTCGGGATTTGTGAAATTAGGCGAAGTGGGGCCCGCTATCGAAGTATATAATGAAATGATTCGATCGGGAATCGAACCGGATGTTGTCGTGTACGGTGTTTTGATAAACGCGTACGCGGATATCGGAAACGTCGAGGAGGCGTTACGGTACGTGAGCGCGATGGAAAAACGTGGTTTGCAGATGAATTCGGTTATTTGTAATTCTTTGATTAAACTCTATACGAAAGTCGGGTGTATAAGGGAAGCAGAAGAAGCGTATTTCACGCTTCTTTTGCTTTCCTCGGATTTAGATGTTTATACATCGAATTGTATGATCGATTTGTACACGGAACGGTCGATGGTGAAACCGGCGGAGGAAATTTTCGAGAAGTTACGAAAAAACGGGAACGCGAATGAGTTTTCGTACGCGATGATGTTGTGTATGTATAAGAAGATCGCGAATTTTGAAGAGGCGTTTGAGATTGCTAAAAAGATGAGGGAATTAGGGTTTTTGAATGATTTGTTGAGTTATAATCATGTTCTTGGATTGTATGCTTTGGATGGTAGGTTTAAGGAAGCGGTGATGATTTTTAAGGAGATGATTGAATCGGGTGTTGATCCGAATGATTCGAGTTTTAAATATCTTGGAGTTGTTCTTATGAAACGTGGGGTCCCGAAAAATGCGATTTTGAAGCTTGAAAGTATGCGAAAAGATGATTATCAAAGTGGTTTGGAAGCGTGGCGGGGGACTCTTGATTTGGTTTTTGGTATGGTTTATCGTGATATTAGTGATTAATTATGATTTACCCGTGTTATTAGCTCAGAAATTAGCTCATAATTCGTTTTTTGAGTTGTCTGGATAAAGTGTTGTATGGATAAATGATGTTTAAAGTCAGAAACTGAGAACAAAATTATAAAAAGTTAGGACTTATTTTGCATCTTTTGACTTTTTATTTTTAGTTATTCTGTTTTCACTAAAGATGTTTCTGTTTCATAAGGAAATTATGAAAATATCTTCATCTCAATGTTCATAACGTGTTAAATGTTTTTCTTGTTAACTACTAGAAAAGATGGTTGCATGAACTTTTATATAAATCAAATCTTGAATTTATAAATTAGGTTTAATAGACAACCACACATGCATTCATGAGTTCCACTTGATTGCATTACAAGGGATCTAGTTTAGTTGATTTGGTTTTCGGATATCTGGATAGGTTGTTATGTAATGGTTATTAATAGCCACTTTACGTTTTTGTCAATGTTTATAGCTTCCAACAAAAGTCGTCATACAAATTAGGATGCCAAAAACTCACGTGGGGCCCGCTTTCAGGATTATTTTCAGAAAAATTTAAGTTACCATAGGTCCCTGGTATCAGCACATACTTGCTACAAGCATTTATTTTGCTACAGTCTATTTAGTTATTGAGCAACTACCGAGATTTGATTTATTTCCCACTCTGATTCTCATTCTATTAAAATTGAGAATATATAGAGAGGATATGGTCCATGTATCAAGACTGAAATAAAATGACAATCTATTAAAAGCCTATATGTGCTAGAATGATATGCATACAATTAACATTTAATAAGAACAATGTTAAGAATGTTAAAATTTAGTGAGTTTTTTTTTTGTCTGATATTAACTTACCTTATGTTAAATTATAATCTAGTTTTTGAATACCCATCTGGGAGTTGAGTTAATGTTATTTGCTGAAACTTGGTTCATTTGAGCGTATCTAATAGATGTACATAAAATTTGCACCCCCTTGAGACATATTACATGATCTGACTTTGATGCATAACATGTCTTTGAATTATTGACTCATTTGACGCATAGTGGACAATATCTAATAGATGTACATAAAATTTGCACCCCCTTGAGACATATTACATGATCTGACTTTGATGCATAACATATCTTTGAATTATTGACTCATCTGACGCATGTTGTCCACATGAGTTTGGACGCATATTACATCATTGAGTAGTGTATATTTATAGATATTTGACTAGATGCGGCATTTTAATGCATTTCGTTTCGTCCTCCCATGACCACCAACTACCCATACACATCCACCCCTCAAAACTCACTCATAGATCCACTCCATGCATTTTCTTAGGTTATCCTTCAAACCATCGCGTTTTTTCAGGGTCTCGATCTTTTCATACAAAAGATAATCATCACTAAAAAAAAAAAAAGCGCCCATTAGCAACGACAAAAAACGTCGCTAAAGCCACTATGAGTCGCCGCTAAATTAGGTAATAGCGGCGACAAATCACTGCTAATAATACATGTTGCCGCTAATACCCTTTTTTATTTTAATTTTTTAAAACCAGAGGATGCATTTGGGATCACGAAACTCATTCTTTTAAGACTTCGTATGGAATTATAACATTTTTGGTACGAAGATGGTACTTATTTTGGTACTTAAATTCAGGGGCGGACACAGTATAGGGCACACGGTTGCCCGTGCAACCCCTGACTTTTCCGGATGCAGTGTAAAATTTTCCGAAAAGTTTCGAAATTTTTATTTTTCTACTATCGTGCAACCCCTGACCTTTCCGTGACATTCCTACTATGAAATCCTGCGTCCGCCCTTGCTTAAATTGACATGTCGTTATTATGGAATTATAGCACTTTTGGTACTTAAATTGATATGTCGTTATATATGCATCAGCATTTCTGCATTTAATGTTTCTGTTTTTGATATTCCCTATCTGTTTTTCTGCACAAGGGTTTTAAAAAATTATAACATTTTTGTATTATCGGTTTTTCTGCACAACGGTTTTAATTTTTTTATTTTAATTTTTGAGAAGTTACTAAAAGCTAGGAACATGAATGAGTTTTGTTACGCAATGATGTTGTGTGTATATAAGAAGATCATGAGAGTTTTGAGGATGCATTTGGGATCACGAAATGATGAGGAAATTAGGGTTTTTGAATGATTTAGAGAGTTATAATCATGTTCTTGGAGTGTATGCTTTGGAATTTGGATGGTAGGTTAACGGAAGAGGTAATGATTTTTAAGGAGATTATTGAATCGGATGTTGAACCGAATGATTCGAGTTTTATATATATTGGAGTTGTTCTTACGAAACATGTGGTCCCGTGCTTTGGAGGTATATATGGTGGGTGACACTCGATTCGATTGTTGGCATGGTTTATCGTGATTAATGATGATTCAATCGCTATATTAGTTTACAGATGAGGGTTTGAGTTTTAGTATCTGCAAGGTGGGAATTTCAATATCAATTTGGACCAGGCTTCTTATGACGTATGCAGCCATCTAATGAACTGCTATTTACTTGAGAAAAAATAACTTTTTATGAAGAAACTTAGAACTATATCGAACATTGGCATGGTTTGGGAGATTATGCTGTATGTTTATAGATGTTTTGAACATTGAAGAAGATTTATATTATTACAAGATTTTTCTTTTTGACTATTAACTTATATTATTGCTCATTTCTAAACCCTCATGTGTAATTTCCTTGTAGTGAGTGCCAATGGCAATGGGTAAGTTGTAAAGATGCTAATTGTTAATCAATTGATGTTATTTTGTTGGGTTTAAAGCTTATAATAACTCTACATTTATTGGATTAATTTATAGATCCTACAGTCATTTTCATCTAAATTCGTGCAAAAATTGGCATTTGTTGCATGTACGTTTGAGTTTACAAGTGGATGTTTGAAAAGGATATGTTGAGTGTATTTAAATGATTTGATGTACATACTTTTGCACCCTTTTAGGCATATTACATGAATGACTTTTGAGGCATAACATATCTTTGAAATTTGAATTATTGACTCATTTGACGCATGTTGTCCAATTGACTTTGGACGCATATTACATTATGAAAGGGTCTGGACCACTTTCGTTTGTTGAAACTCAGACATACTAACGAGTTTTTAACTAAGGAATAGTGTTTTAGAAAAATAATTACCAATTAATTATACTTTAAAAATTATTTACTTATTCATTTTATATAATTATTTAAAGGGAAAAGAATCTTGTTGATCGCCCTCACCCACTTTTCTTGTCTTTCCCTCACAAACATTTCTTTGTCTTTCTCTCACGTGATTTTCTCCCTCTTTGTGACCTCGCAAACTCGTCTATTATGTTTGTGACTCTCAATGGCGACCAACATTAGAACATAGACTGAAAGGGGAAAAAAATATGGCTCTCGTACTCGCCATGACACTTGTTTGCCTTTTTCTTACGGGTACGGTGATAGCATTCTCTTTTCAATACATGATCACATGTATGAAGCATCAAGGTATATTAAAAATTATTGATTTTTTGGATTGTTTGGATTCTCATTTAATGAGCTTCCAGAAACACTCAAATGGTTTTGAGGAAGTGAAAAACGTACATAGTTAACTGCCTATGGGAAACTCAATGTTGCCTAACGTCTACTGTACTACACTGCCAATTATGCCAATTATTTTTTATTTTATTTTTTTCATATATATATATATATATATATATATATATATATATATATATATATATATATATATATATATATATAGATATATATATAAATATAAAGTAAGTTCAAATAAAAACAGTAAATAGCGTGAAAACATAAAAACATTATGTTTATATTATTATTATGCCATGCATGTTGTATATTTGTATTATTGAAGTAATTCTAATGTGAATATTAACATTTGATTATTCATATGTTCATGTTATTATTTTATTATAAATTTATGTATGTGTATTTTTGTAGTAAATTTTAATTTTAGTTTTAACCCATGATTATTCATTATTTATTGTTGAATAATGACATAAAGCTGTTGATACAAAATTCATTGAAGAATAATAAATAAAAGTATTGTTTTTACGTTTTCACACTATTTACAGTTTTTATTTGAATTATATATATATATATATATATATATATATATATATATATATATATGGGTTCCAATGAGATTATAAAAAAAATAGAGATCTTGAGATTAAATCTCAACCATATATTTCTCATTTGACGCTCTGACGCTCTAACCCTCCGGTGTACTGGCACGACGACAGAGTTTATAATCATAAATGATTGTGTAGCGTCGTCCGTTCCTTTTTCCTCCACCGTCTTCCCCACCACAACAAGCGCCACCACCACCACCACCACCACCCTGCCACCAACCGATCGCACTACTTCCACTTATGCCAACTATACCACCGCCACCTTTGCCACCACCACCTCCTCCCACACAAACCACCATAATAATCTATGATTAATGTGACAACCCGAAAATTTCTATCCAGTAAAGTCAATCAATCCAATCAAATGTCAGACTTGTTTCTACTATCTTTTAGCATTGTTAGGGGTCTGTTTGAGGGTTCTAAGCCTAGTACACTTAAGGATTGGGTGTAGGGTTGTGTCAGCTTAAGTTCATTGGGTTGAAATCGAGCCGGAAACTCCACCGCAAGAAGTTTACGGCCACAAACTAGGAGTTTACGGTCGTAAACTCTTGGTGGCTGTGAACTCCTTCCCTTAAGTATATAGTTCCTTCATTTCTTCATCATTCTTCACATCTCCAAGGCTGAAACTCATTTCTCTCTCAAGTATCATCAAGAACACTTTGATTTCTCTTCATTTTTGTAAGTGATTATTCCATTGTTTCTTGATATCCTTCTTGATATTGTGAAACCCTTTAATTACATCCTTGAATTCATCACTTTTCCTTCAAGATCTTCAAGTCTTCATCCTTTCACCAAGAACACCAAGAACACCCACTTGTTCTTGGGCCGTAAACACCCTAAAGTCATCAAAAGGGTGAGTATTTCT